AAGTAGCTTTGTATGTATGTTGGAGGTGGGAGTGTCCAGCAGGGACAAGTCTGTGTCTGGATGGTGTTCAGCACCAGGGACAGGTATGTCTGTGTGAGGATGGTGTTCAGCACCAGGGACAGGTATGTCTGTGTGAGGATGGTGTTCAGCACCAGGGGCAGGTATGTCTGTGTGAGGATGGTGTTCAGCACCAGGGGCAGGTATGTCTGTGTGAGGATGGTGTTCAGCACCAGGGGGCAGGTATGTCTGTGTGTGGATGGTGTTCAGCACCAGGGACAGGTATGTCTGTGTGTGGATGGTGTTCAGCACCAGGGACAGGTATGTCTGTGTGTGGATGGTGTTCAGCACCAGGGGCAGGTATGTCTGTGTGAGGATGGTGTTCAGCACCAGGGACAGGTATGTCTGTGTGTGGATGGTGTTCAGCACCAGGGGCAGGTATGTCTGTGTGTGTGGATGGTGTTCAGCACCAGGGACAGGTATGTCTGTGTGTGGATGGTGTTCAGCACCAGGGACAGGTATGTCTGTTTGTGGATGGTGTTCAGCACCAAGGAGGTGTGTGTGTGGATGGTGTTCAGCACAAGGGACAGGTATGTCTGTCCCTGGGTGTACAGTACCTTTTAGCCCTACTATGAAAAGATTTTTATTTGTGATAAGTACAACCTGTGTGTCTTTTTCTTCTCTAAGAATGAAAAGCCTGCGAAGCAAGCCAGCCTGTTTGCACAGCAGTTCTCTGCAGTGTCTCCAACATTGTTTGGACTTCCTGACCAGACTCAGGAGACAGAAAAGATGGAGACAGACCAAGGCAGTACACAGGCCATGGTGTCGGGATTTGGAGGTAGATTCCCAGTCCAGACTTTCTTGTACAGAAACCATTATTCAAACCTTCATTGTCTGAAAGTTTACATTCATCAATCTTATCTATGAATTTTAGACAACTCTTGACATAGTACATGGTTCATTATGTTGCTACATCAGTTTATACTCCGGTGCTACTAGTATGCTAAGCAATATAATGACACAAGAAAGGGAAAATGACGAAGCTCGAGTATGAGAGCAATATACGCATTCCTCAGTTATACAATGACAAAGTCCTAACAAAGTGTTGACTCAAACACTGTATATCAGACAATGAAGAATGTTCATGTTTTCCCAATGTGAATAATTACAGAAACCAGTTCCATACTGGAGGGCTCAGGACTCACCCATGGTAGAACAGCTGTAGAGACAGAAGTCCAGCAGATCCACCAGGAGAACGTGGCTCGGCTGGTGGCCATGACAGAGGAGCAGATTCAGCAGGAGAGGGACAAGCTACTGCAGACCCTTGGTACGTCTAGTGTTCGCTAGCTATTCTGTAGCAAAAGCTCAGGCATATTTACACTGGGTGAACGTCATCTTCATTCATACTCTTATAAATCTGGACAAGTTTGTTTTTTAAAGAAATGTAGTTGATCTTAATGGTGTACCAATTGCTTTGTAATTTTTGTCCCTTTTTTCAGATCCCAGTCTCATCCAGTTTCTGGCCTCCAAGAAAAAGCAGCCAACAGCAGAGACACAGCCCACAGGTGATATAAGCCCCCTAACTGCAGCTGGTGGTACTGCAGACAAAGCCAGCTGCCCTGCTGCTTTTGGATCAGCTGTAACCAGTCTAACTGAGGAGGACAGACTGAGGAGTCTGGTTAGTGAGCAGGATAACTCTGAGGATGCTTTACTGGCTGAGATGGACACAGGGGTTCCATTACAAGGTCTGTAAACACAGTTAGCTATCAATCTGTACCTTTCAAAACTTTCAAACTGTATTGTACAACTAACCTTGCAGTCACTGAGAGTGAATTGTGATGATTTTCTTTTCACATAAGTGCTGAGTGCAAAGCAGAGAAAGCAGTACCGTATGTACCATTTGTAAAGTTTTTGGTATGACCCAGCCACAAGCACTAAGCTGTGCAGTTGTTTCCACTTCATCAACATAAAGGTTACTACTCATTTTTATCTCTTCCATCAGAACAAGTGCCTATCCAACCCTCCAAAGACTGGTTAAACATGGACGTTGTGGAACATGAGAAGCTGGAGTGGATGAAGGACCTCCCCGCTCCTAAACCTGGGGACAACAAGGTACAGTGGGGAGTGCCAATCCAAATGGAATAACAATTACTTGTTACCAGCATGTCGGCAGAACATACAGAGTACTGCGCCTGCTTGAAAGCATGATTTCTGTTGAATGTTTCGTTCATCAGAATTTTGTCTGTTGACATATCTTTCCTAACAAAACATTTTGAAAACTGCAGAAGGGATGTTTCCCTTAAATATGTGAACACGAAGTGCTGTTCACATTATTGGTATACATGGATTACATTTTCAGATTTTACAAAGGTGCACTACATTCTGCCAAAGTACTCTTGTTACTCATTCCTGTTCTGTGACATTTTTTTATGCCTTTGCTTATTGACATTACTAGTAACTTTTCTCTCTGCTGCTTTACACTGTAACCATTACAAGTTTGGTGAGTAAAGTACCTCTCATTAGGAGGAGGGTTAACCTGTGGAATAACTGTGTTACTGTTATGTAGGGCAAGGTTGCCAGGTTTGACCTTGAAGGTCAGCTGATGTCCAGGGACAAGGACGTCCCCACCCACCTGGGTCTGCATCACCATGGAGATGAACCTGAGGTCAGTTCACATCTGCCATTAATGGACCACCTGATCATAACCACCTCTGATCATCAAGGATAACTTTATCAAACACCTGGTCTAACAGAGAGTTGCATAACTACTTGGTTAAACAATAAAATCATTAAAATTGTTAGTGTTATGCCTCATGTACTGTAAAAATATTAGGCAATTTGTGATTTGACAATGGATTGTGAACTTTTAAATCAGTGCATTGATAAATGGAAAAACTGTAGGAAGTAGGAAGACAAAGATTTTCTTATTGGGTGCCAAAATTTGAGCTGTGTGGCTTTACCTTGCATATTCAATTGTAAAGTGCTCCCTGTAACCTTAAGTTTATTGAACAAATCTAAAACTGTGTTTTTTCCGTAGGTGGCAGGCTACACCCTGGAGGAGCTGTTCATGTTGTCCCGCAGTCGTTTCCCCCAGCAAAGGACACTGGCACTGCAGGTGCTGGCCAGGGTGGTAGCCAGGGTAAGGCCTGTTTTATTTTGTATCTACCAAGTACATGTTCATGTGTTATAGATATATATGACATAATGAAGTTTGTCAAATTGTATACTAGTAGTATGTTTATTGTTTATTTGTATGCACTTAATAATAAATGCATAGCAAGGAAATATTAGTGAGATATTACAGTCATTGCAAGGGAGGCCCAAAGCGTATGGTTAATTAATGTAAAGGCCTCCCTTTATCAACTTATGAGAATTTTATAAACAAAAGAAATAAGTTAGGTGATAAATAAATGAAACAATATATTGAGAACACAGGGCAATAAATGCACAGTACAGCTACAATATGCAAAGTGTTGTAGCTGTTACAGTACCTTTGGATTATATACTTTGATACTTGTCCTTGCTTTCAGATGTGCTTAACAATTATGCATATACACTGTACTGATGTGGTCTAGGTACATATTTGCTTATATTTACATTCAACACCAAACCCCAGGCTAGGAATGGTGAGTTTGCAGTGGCGTTGAGTGGTCCCCTGCTGCCTATGATGCTGGAGTCTGGGATGGTGTTTGTTGTCAGGTTCAGTCTGGATGAGAACACCCCCAGTCTGGTCACCACCGCAGTGGAGGCCCTGCACAGCCTGCTGGTCTTACCTGGGGACGAGGTAAGTCTGTAAGTGTAACCTAAGCATGAGGTGAGGACATGAGTCAGTGGTGTTTCATAGAAACATGATCTATACTAACGTTACATAATGTACTTCACGTGAGAAAAGGAATCAAAGCCTTAGGGGAACATTGCATCACAGATGACATCATCATCACATGTTATTGTTCTCAAATCATAGGGCGGCACCCATCTCTGGTTCAATAGATAGTTGAATGTGCAATTACTACAGCAGGGGGCAAGTCCACTGGTAGTGGTGTGTGTTTAACTATCATTATGCTCTTTCTAAAATGCTAAGTGCTAAGCAGAGACAGCAGTATGTTCCATTTTTAATTTACCGGTAGTCTTTGGCATATAAGTCGGCCAGTGATCAAACTCACAACCTACTGAATGCAAGCCGAACACTCCATCCACTAGCCATTGTACTGGTCATCACATGTAACATCCGACATTATTTGGTGGGACATGAGGTATATATAATCCAGTTCTTGTCTTCCCCAGCTGTGTGCAGACCATGTGTACAGTTGGTACCGTGGGAGTGAGCTCCCTGCCTTGTGTCCTGAGAGAGACCCTGAGGAGGAGGGAGAGGAGGGGAAGGGCAGAGACAAGACAGACCAGGAGCTGGCCAAGGAAGATATCATCAAGGTATGTCCATCTATTTGCTTCTTTCAGTTGTGTGAAAGTGATCTTGAACCAGTTTAGCTCACTGAAGAACTATTCCTCAACTGGTCATGACAGAGAATTCAAAGACAAATGCTATGTACAGGATGTACAGGTTCATTGTAGTTCCATAGTTATTCTCAACAAATACAGTAAATAGTGGACCTAAGGACTGCAATTCTTTCCAGTAGTGTGCATGCCAGGTGAGCGACAATAGCCAGGATTCTAACTCCCAACCTCCTGGTCCAGAGGCAGGGTTGCTAACCACTGGACTATGCACGCTACTCTAGCAAACCTTGATTTCTACCAGTTTAAAAAGTTGGTGAATAACCATCTAAAAAAAAATCAAGCTTTTGAACAATATTGGATGCACAACAGTCATACAAAATGTAGCATGAATGTTCATCTGTGTTGGTAGCAATCATTCTAAGACTTGTGAAGCAAAATTTAACTGCAATATCCAATCCAAAACTGAGACTTTCCCTTATTTTGGACTGAGAGAAATTCCGGGATCCTTTTCAAAAACTGGAGTTGGGCAGTAGAAAAATTAGAACATTCAGTCCTGACGTGTTTTCCCAGGGTCTCCTGAGGATGACGTTACTGCCCAGACTGCGCTACATCCTGGAGGTGCTGAGACCAGACGGGCCTGTGGTCATCCACATTGTAGAGATCCTGATCCGGGTAGCCAGACACTCTCTACAGGCTGCCTACCAGGTCAGGATGTGTTCATCATCATCATCTAACGCAATGTTTATGGAACTGTTACAGTACATCCATGATGCACTGTGGGTAGAACATGTATATCAAACCCGTGGGACAATAACAAAACACAGTATCAAGCATGGTATTGACAAGAACTGTCAATCTAAAAGTGTGTGCCATTGGATTACATGTATATCAGGCTGAATGTACCCCTGGCCAGTAATCTACCCAGGAATACTACATGTATATATCAGGTCATTGGTACATTGGTCACTGTATATTGCTGCCTGTGAAAACCTGTATTTACTATGATCAGAAAGAAACATAATACAGATACGTTTCTCCATAACAGGTTCTTCGCTGTCCTCACTTAATGGAAACTGTCTTCACAGAATTACTTCCACTGTCCTGGGCTGACAAAGGTCAGGAAAATGTTTTTTTCATCTATATGATCAGCACTTCCAGTACCACTTTGTAACCTGTTATCTAATATGAAGTGCCATCTCAAATGTTCTTTCTGTTATACAGTGTCCAGTGCAGACAAGTCAGAGGCACACGGCCGCCCCCTCCCTCAGGCTATGAAGCTGATGAGAGTTCTGTGTACAGCAGGGAGAAACATCACAGCAATTCTGGTTTGTTACATAGACATCTGCTTCTTCTACTTTCCACTCTTCTGTTGCTTTTTTCCACAGAATTTTGTATCTTCCCATCTTTTGGGTAAAACGAAATGTTGTATGATGAGCACTGTCCTCGGCCATGTCATATTTTATTTCTTATTTGTTACGGTATAGTTATGATAAAGTGCAGATTTTAAATAAAACTTGCACTTGAGTAAAATGGTCAGCATACTTTAACAAGATAGAATAATTTTTTTCCATATGTTATACCAACACTATAACAGTGTCAAAGTCATGAGTGGCATGTTTGAGTAGTTATTTCAACTCTGTACTGATCATGATGCAATGCACTGCTACATGTAACCCCAAACAAATTGTTTTTGTACTGCAGATTTCCAAACATTCGCTGATGGAAAGGATAATGAGATATACTGCAGAGCACCCAAGGTAAAGTACATTTCTGGGACTTCGGTAGCCAGTGATTTAATTGCACTAAGCCAATTTATCTCATACAGTATATGTGACAACTTATTACTGTTGATAATTTTTCCCAGTGATCTTCAGTTAGACCAGCTGGAGGCCTTCAGTCTGGCAGTGGAGTCCCTGCGTACCTGGGCAACCTGTGCAGTCTATGGACTGGGCTGTGAGGCTTTCACGTAAGTTGTCCCCACGTGTCAGTTTAATGATGGTCACCTTCATTTCACATGTAGTTTTTCTGAAAATACCTTAAAGTTTGTCCTGTTGCAGTAGTGGTGGTTACTGTATTATTTCCAGAACATGTATTTGATTATACTGCTATGGGGAAAGGAGGTACATGTATGGGTGGGCAGTAGTTGGCTACTTCACACAGCATGTCCTGACAGGTCCATGCTAGTGAGGCTGCACACATTGATGCCATAGGGACTTCCTCTGTGTACATTGGCACAAGACTTTGATGAAAGGTTTGAAACAAATCATCTTAGTGTGAGATAAGTGGTACAATTTATTTCTTTTCAGGAAATTGAAAGGAATATGCCTCAGTCACTGATTTACTTTAGTTAGAATTGTGAGCACGTTGGCTTAACAAACTGCACTTGCATGAAACTCGTATTGTATTGCACATAACATTTCTGAATCAGCAAAACATCTCTTTTAAGGTTGTATTCGCATATTAAGGGAGCCTATAGTTTTCCATGTGTTGGAAAAGATATCATTTGCAATAGGCAAAATTCTGATGCAACATTGACCAAACATCCAAAGAAAACTGAAAAAAGGGTTTCATGCAGATGCAGTACATTCTGCTGACATGTGCATCTTCTGACTGAACCCAATCCTATACCTCCTGTAGGGAACTGTACCCGGTGGTTCTGCAGACTCTGCAGAGACTGTTTGGTACCCTGTCAGCCGTGGGCAGCCATGCTGATCCTCAGGCCTTCCAGGCTGCAGCGCTCTTCAGGCTGATAGAGGGCGCCACACACACTGCAGGAGTAGCAGCAGAACTAGCGGCAAGGTCTGGCAGGTTTTAACATTGAATCTAATTGAATTGATTTTGTTTATGTCATAGCGAAAATACACACAGGTATTATATACTTTTTGTACATACAAATAGACCAAACATGCAACAATATATGTACATTTCTTTTAAAAAAGCCGGATTCTTATGACTCTGTTATGGGTGTTGAATATTGTATTTATAAACTAATAACATACTATAGTAGCCAATTCCTTTCATCAGCTTCATGTTAATACAAAAGCAGCTATTGTACGCCATATAACATTTTGATAGGGAACATTTTCTACATGTAGCACATTTCTGTGATATATACATTTGTATGGGTACATGCAAGATTTTAAGTGGTGCAAAAGTCACACAGGTAAACTTTAATCATTCCACCGACAGATTGGCTAATGTTGGAGAGAGAGAAGGTAACCATGACAACCTGCCTGCCCCGCCCATCAACTGGAGTCATGTGACCGGCCTGCTGCCTGCCGTACAGCTGTGTGTGAAGAAGTGGGTAACCCAGGCTGTATCTCACACAGGGCAGCTACAGGTAGGCTGGGATGCAGATACTAGTACTACTGTATGTTTGGGCCTTTTTTTGATTAATGATGATAAAACAAGTTTGTGTAAGATACTCAACTGTGCAATGGTTTAGTTAGATATTTGAAAGGTTTAGATGTGATTTTAGTGTTTTAAATTGTACTGATAACTGATAGAATACTAATGATTTCCTAATAACTAAGCTATGTTTGTTTCATATCAGGAAGTAAACTCGGGACTTGTTGCCAGCTGCCTACACTACCTGGCCTCCTACCTGTCTAAGCTGGTACTGCAGGTAAGAAAGCAATTGCAACTGGTGGAAACAAACATGGTTCCTGTCCTTTATGTCTTTCTTGACAGTTATACTGTTTTTTTTTCCTTTTTGATGCACTCATTTACATTTGTTCAGAACACCATCACTTAACCTTCTCCCTGCTGCCTACCCTGTATCCCCATAACCAGGCTGCCATAACCAATACAAATTTCATGAAAAAAGGCTACTTCAGCAGGGAGAACGTTCTTTTACTTTGCCATAATAATCTGTAAATGAATCTCCTAGTACATTTCAATTTGCACTGCAATAAGACCTACTTGTTACCTCAGTATTTAAACCCATTCACTGTCTGAGCAGTATAGAACCAAGCAGTCAGAGGGCTGCTCGTGCTAGGAGCAGTCTTAAGTCAGACTTGGCCACCTTGTAAGGACACTGTTGTCTCTATCTTCTTCAGCCGTCCCATGATGCAGTGGGGACCCTGCAGTACCTGGAGGAGCTGGTGACAGACGTGCTGCTGCCACTCATCAACTCTGACTACTTCATAACACAGCTGCAGAAAGTCAGGTGAGTGTAGCTGCAGGTGTTTATGATTAAGTATGGCTTTGTCACTTGGCAGGTGCATAGGCTGAATGAACCAGCATATATTTCAGTATTTTTAGCTATATATTTAAAGAAGAAACGGCTGCAATGGCCAAGTGGGTAGAGTGTTCACCTTGCATTCTTCGTTAGGTTGTGAGTTTGATCCCAGGCTGAAGTCATACCAAAGACTTAAACATGATACTGCTTTCTCTGCTTAGCACATGGGAAAGACTGTGGTAGTTAAATACACACCAGGCCACTACCAGTGAATAATTTCTTTTATATTGACTATCAGTGTTCTCATCCCTGTCTGCCTCTCCTCCTACAGGACGTTTTCCCCCACCTGTCAGCAGTGTGTCCCCGCTGGTCCCAGACAGGACAGCCCGGCCCTGCCTGACATGGGGTGCAGGCAGGCTGTCAGCAGACAGCAGCCCTGGCTGTGTGTGCACGAACACTCCCCCTACAACATGGTCACAGCAGTGTACAGGCTGGCTGTACAGGCAATTAGTATACACAAGGGGCTGGCCAACAAGGTGAGCTTGTTTGTCTGCAGTACGTTGTGTGACTGTGGTGTTAAATGGCTGAGCAGCTAGGCGAATAGACACATTTTACCAAGAGGTCATGGGTTCGATTCCTTGCATTCCATGGCTGGATGTTGAATCATGGGGAAAGGCAGTTTAGACAACTTTCCTTACTCCACCCAGGTTTAAAATGGGTACCTGACTTCAGTTGGGGAGGTAAAAGGTGGTTGAAGTAGAGGAATGCTCTCTACCTTCCAGTACCATGTTCTAGGCACCATGGATTAACAACCCACTGCCCCTACGACCTCAAAAAGTCTACAGGACTACATGTACCTTTACCTTTTATCATTTACGTAGTGAGGATGTCCTTTGTGTGTATTTAGATAGTGTGACAGTGTCTTTCTTTGGTAACTAAAAACTTAATGTTTTATTTCATCTTCCAGCTGTCCTCCCTGGTGACACAGCAGCATGTTGTAGCCTTCCTGTCCAGCTGGCAGTCAGCGCCAGACAGCACCTCCTACTGGCTGAGGTTTGAACACCACCTGCTGTACCATATCATCAAACTCTTCACACAGATGGTATGCTTTCGCTCTCTTCATCAAACTGACTGAAGTGGTTGCATGTTTTCATTACATCTTTACTTGGTCCACTGTTTTAGATGCCATGAAAACAAAGCACAAGTTACAACAGACAAATGTTCAATGGGAATAGTTTAAGAACCTATTGTATGGCTTTTTCCTGAAATACCATAGTAGTATACATTGTAATGGCTTTTTCCTGAAATACCATTATATAGTAGTATACATTGTAAATGACAACAGTAATAAACTGGTGAATGCATCAACTAAGTATCTAATACCAGCTCAGAAAAGAACAAGAAATAGTCATGCAGAAAAGAACAAGAAATAGTCATGCCTTCAAGTACCTTCAAAAACTATGACCATAGATTGAAACTTGCTGCCACAAGTACAGTAGGGGCATCTTCACAATAGCTTTAAACAACGCTTACAGTCTGAAGTGCAAACATTACTTGTAACAGGTTACACAAGCTGTCGCCGTATGGTGTACATGATAAGCTGGTGTGTTATGCCAAAGGCGGTTATGTCAGTTTTACAGAATGATAGAAACACCTCATGTGTCATGTGTCCTCCCAGGTTCCCTCTGTCCCATCCTGCCATCCCCACACAGTCCTGTATCACCGGACAGCGCTGACTCTCCTCAGGAGGCTGGTACCTGGGGACGAGCACTACATCCACGACCTCATGTCTACTGTAATCTTCCAGCCTCACTTCTTCCTGTAAGCTGAAGATTTTTAAATCCAGTTTCAAAAGAATCCTGTAGTTGATTACATGGCTAGACCACAGTAGACTCTAACTACAATAATATGATGTAAGCTACGTCCCTTGTAAATAAAATAATTGTATCATAAGTTGTCCAAGCATGCATAACTTTGTACAGTACTGGTACTAATATCTCAATTTAAAGTTTTAAGTACTTTTAAGAACTAGATATAGATATGGATTGCTAGGTTGGATGTGGTGTATTGAGACTGTGTTATAAAATTATTAATTTACATTTTCATCCCATTTTTTGTCTTCAAATACCATATTTATAACATGGTTACATACATACCAATGTTGAGAGTGTTTTACCCAATGATGTTGGTTCCAGAGAGAGCAGACTGGGTGACCCCGAGGCAGCTGACCTGTCAGACATGTTACAGCTGTCCTCAGATGCTGTTCCCACTCAGATCAGCAGCGCTGCCCAGCTGTCCTCCCACCCCAGCCGAGGAACACTGCTGCAGGAGGCCTACAGCAGACTCCCCGGCATCAGGGCCACCTACATACAGGTCCTACAGGGCTTTAAACTGGACACAGACAAGTCAAGGTTACTGTCAAACTACTGTTGGTTTCTGTGGTTTCTTGTAGACAAGTCAAGGTTATTGTCAAATTACTTTTTATTACTGTAGTTCCTTACAGACAAGTCAAGGTTACTGTCAAACTACTGTTTCTTAGGTTACATACAGACAAGTCAAGGTTACTGTCAAACTACTGTTGGTTTCTGTGGTTTCTTGTAGACAAGTCAAGGTTACTGTCAAACTACTGTTTCTTAAGTTTCATACAGACAAGTCAAGGTTACTGTCAAACTACAGTTTCTTACTGTGTCTTATTGTAGTCTCTTACAAACAAGTCAAGGTTATTGTCAAACTACTGTTCTTATGGTCAAGTCAATGTTACTGTCAATTTTGTACCAGTGCTGTAGATATCAATGATATTGATGTGAAGATGGAGATGTCAGATTGTCTTAGCTAGATTGAGTAGAAAGAAAGACATAGGAGACATACAGGTCCTTCTGCTATGACTGGATTGTTCTCTCTCCCTCAGGAATCGTGCCCTGCATCGTCCACACCAGATCCAGTCCCTCCTGTTACCGGTGTGTTCCGCCCCTCTCCTGCCCACAGACTGGGTCTTCCTGCCACTGGTACAGCTGCACAGCCTGGCCAACAGTCTGTAGGTTCAATGGTTTCTTGTCTTCGATGTTGTGTCAGTGCTGCAAGGCACTTTCAATGCTTTATGAAAAGCTGTTGCATGAAGGTATTTTCCAAATCAAAGAGTAACTCAGCAAAACTTTTGGTACATCCATTTCTTATCATCATCAAACTTCAAATACTTTTTGCATTAAGGTATGTCATAAAATTGGAAACTGTTGAACATTCAAGTTTTTTTATCTTTGTTTACTATGCATCATTTTGAATTTCCCAAGAAGTCTAGCCTTTAAGCATAAAAGTTAAAAGTTTTTGACTCTTCCAATAACAATTGATGTTCCCCATCAAAATCTTGACTTGTTTGTTTTACCAGTATCATCTTGATTAATTAGTAATGTTACATGTATATGAAATATTGTCTGGAAAAGAATTGAATGTAATGTTCCATATTATCATTCCTATATACCAGCATGATATATTGTACTTTTTTTATTCCTCATATTTCAGGGAGTCTAGAGGATACCCAGTGGAGAGTGTGCCCACAGATGTTGTCACCACAGTGACCAATAGCTTGAGACTGATCCTGATGCTGGAGATGTGGCGTCCAGACACCCTCACGTCTCTGACAGTGGCCGCCAAGCTGACCAGGCTCATGTGTGTGTTCCTGACAGGTGGGCTGACACTAAGTCTTGTTTATTATGGATATGAGAGATCGCGTGTGCCCCTTGTGTGTTTCTCAAAGTTAATACAAGTTTGTGCATCTGTTCTGTTCGTATAGGAAAAGGGTTACGGTTTATAGGAATAGGGTTAGGGTTAAGGTTAGGCTGTTGGATGAGTCTTAAAGCTAGTAGACACAAGACCAAGAGGTCACAGGTTTGATTCCTGACATTCCTGTCAAGACATTGTGTCCTTGGGAAAGATACTTTATACAACTTTCTCACACCACCCAAGTGTAAAATGGGTACTTGTTTGGTTGGGGAGGTAAAAGGAATGGGCTCCACCTTCCAATACTCTGCCCTAGACACAGTGAAAAAAGGCTACAGAACAACTTTTACATTTTTTTCTGTTTGTTTCTCTATTGCTTGATGTTAAAAAAAATTCACATTACAGGTAGTGAGTTGTTCCTGGATGGCTCAGTTCACCACCTCCTGTCCTCCCTCTTGAGACATTACACCCAGCCTGGCCTGCTGACAACTCTGGACTTCAACGTGCCCATCCCTGGCATCACATCCTTCTATGACCTGTAAGTAACCCCTCCTTCAAAGCCTTGCACTATAAGTTTTATCGTTCATTGCAACATTGTTTTCATATGTGAACTGTTTTGGTTCCTCACTGTATCTTTATCTGTATAGACTGTATAAACGTTCTTCGGCATAACACACCAGCATCACAGGTGCATGTCACACCCAACCTTTGCACATCAAACTGCAAATGTTGTTTGAAGCTATCTAGACGCAGGGAGGATGTGCTTGTAGGCAACAAGTTCCACTCTACAGTACCTCTAGGAAAAACATGTTTTCAAAAATCTTGATCCTAGCAAGGAGGTTTCAAAGACCTTCTCCTTGACCCTAGGTTGATAACTCTGGTACTTCAAGGCATGACTCTTTCTTGTTCTTCACTGAGACCATTTGCCATCCTCCTGCAGCTACAAAGGCCTGTTGGGCCAGTACGAGGCCACGTCTTTTGGAGACTCCCTGTTTGCCAGTTTTGTGCTGTTGCCGCTGCAGCAGAAGTTTGGGATGGGCTTCAAGAAGCTGCTGCTGAGTGAACATGATGCTGTTTTCAGGACGTTCCCTCTGCAGTTCCAAGAGGTAAATACAGAAAGCACCTGAGTGTATAAAGCACAAACCTCATGGATGGAGAAGTAAATATGGGTTTCAAACACAGTTTGTTGAAAATTAGTGGCTAGTCATGACAAGAGTTTTGAGAACAGAGAAGGACAAGGCAACATCTTTAGTATATTATTATAATACATATTACTGTTATATCATGCCTTAGGCCACACCAATTTAATTTGTTGGTTCTCGGAATTGCCGCTTCAAAAAATCGCAAAATGAAAAAAAAAAAAATTAATTCTTGTTACTCTCATCTCATCTGCCGATTTTTTTGGGCCCGAACGTCCACCCGGTACGTTCTTATTTTGCACGGTACGTTTATTAATTTTTTGAAAATCAGTAATTTTTTTCGACTACGCGTGAAAAAAATCGGCAAATCTTCGACGTGAAGACGTTTATAAACGCGTATTGTAGTGAGAAACTTGTCATTTTCCGGCCTGTTTTCGCGATCGCGGCGTGAATAAATTTGTCTGAATGTTCCATTGTCATGGGTGGTGCTCATCAAAATACGAACTCCTCAAAGCTCTAAATTAGAACAAATTCTAACAAACTAAGCAAGTCATTTAATATTTAAGATTTTAGCTACCGTATTGTATTTGTCGATGTCGATTTACCGCAATAAAATCAAGAAATCAGGTAAAATATTACACAGTCTTCCCCGTAAAAAATGAGACCTTCCGTTAACCCCAAATGACCTCTCCTTCATGCAAGCAGCGACGCCATGTTGGATATTTCTCGGCTTTCTTCTACCACCAGTTTTGGCTCATTTTTACGACAAAATCCCGGCTAATATCGCCCAGAAAATATCTGGAGCCCTATCTGGTCGCTAGAGAAGCATTATTTTCTAATTTTAGTGGATTTTTCCCAAAAGAAAAGTTGTCGTAATCGACGCCAAGTTACGACATGCTGGGATGGTTCGCTGGGATTTTTAGGGGCCATTTTTGAGTAATCGGCACTTCGAAATTTTGTTTACTTTTATGATAGGAACGCTAGCAAAAAAATGCTGCCACATCATGCCCATATTCTTTATTACCCGGTACCCGTTGGATTTTCTTGGCCAACATTTGGCAACGTACTCACGGCTGGACTCAGACGGTGGGATTGGCATTTTTGGCCGTCTCGGGACCGAAAACCTGTGGACGCTGGACGCGTTAGACAGGTAGACGCAATGCAAGATTTCTTAACGCTTGAGTCGATGGGAAAAATTCAAGGGACCAACAAAACAACAAAAAGTGGTCGTAATGGACGAGTGGTCTCTATACAAGGGTGGTCGTTATTACAGGTTTGACTGTATGTATTTCCCAACAACATGACATGTCTACATTTGTACTAGAAATGCTCTCTTTGTTGTCTATTTAAATTCCTAATTGCAAATAACAGTTAAAGATTTGTGCATAACAGTTTCTAGTATACCAGTAAGAGCACATTTTAGCATAAGAGACACAGGTTACCCATCAATTTTGGTAATTTTCCGGGGGGTAAATTTATTCCGGGGGGGTATTTTTATTGGATTTTGAAAATTTGTCCGGGGGGTACGTTTATTCCGGGGGGTATGTTTATTCAGCAGATCATTAACATCAATAATTGATCCTTGATACATAGGCTATAAAACAGCAATGTTTTAGCATGTATAGTCATAGCTTTGTTCTCAATCCCTTTTTCCAGCCTTAGCTTTACCATTTGGGCATGTTTTTTTTTTTTTTCGCCCTGTCGCTTCTATTTATTTATTTATTTATTTATGACGATTTACCACATTTGTGGAAGGATTGACATAACAGGTGACTATCACCTTTACAAGATGTCAAGCCTGAGACCAGACTGTAAGGTTTGAACCACTTACACCGGGAAGGACCCCTACTCTTTTCGATAAGTGCGGTGGGTTCTTTTACGTGCGTGAGGTGTGGCTCTCCCAAACACGGGACCTCCATTTAACGTCCTATCCGAGGGACGTCCCTAACCGAAGCTAGGTACTCATTTACACCTGAGTGAAGTGAGGAAAGTCGTGTAAAGTGCCTTTCCCAAGGGCACAAGATCGGTGACATGGGCAGGATTCGAACCCGCAACCTCTCGGGTGTGAGCCGAACGCGCTACCGACTGCGCCACACGACCCCACATTCACATTTTTCATGAAAAAATCCGAGAACCAACAAATTAAATTGGTGTGGCCTTAGTGGTAAATACTGTACATCCAGTTTTTAGTGACACCTGTTGATGTGTGTTTCCCCAGCTTGTTGTTCCAGTTGAGAACTACCTGGAGCCCCAGGAGACAGACCATGAGCTGCTACAGATGTACCTGGGTGTGTTGTTAACAGGAACAGTCAGGCAGCAGTGGGCTCCCATCTTCTATCTCATCATGGTCAAACACATCACAGGCTTCATCTTTGCTTCTCTGTCTGGCCAGGTAGGAGCACTAATAAATGTTCTTTGTGTGTTATCTTGAAAGTTCATCTGTGTTGATAGAAGTCGTAATGAGGCAAATTTTAACTGTAATTTCCAACACAAGAAATTGGATGTACCCAAATTTTTGACTGTACAACTCCAGTCTTTGTCAAGGAAAGAACACATCATCTGAAGAGGTGGATTGCTCATTCCTTGACAAAGACTGGAGTTTGGTGAGTCCAATTCCTTTTGTTGGTTATTACAGTTCAGCTTGCTTCATGATTTTCTTTGTATTATCAAAACCAATAACCTGTGTGATGGCTGTCAAGATGCTCACATACTTAAATTTGGCATTGCTACTTGCTTTTTGCATCAGGCTCAGTCATATGCACCAAAGTTACACCACAGCAGTCAGTATTTTATTTAAATTTGAACAGATATGATTAGACTACCTTTGTTATATAAAAATCATGATCACTTCTGATGACACTGTGGCTTTGACTTACCGTTGTCTGCAGGACACTGCGAGAAGAAGTCTTCTTAGACAGGTGATGTCATCAAGAAATGAGGTAAAGTTATTACATCAAATTCTTTTGCCTGCTTTTTTAAAACATAATATGCAAATTTGTTTTCATGAAACGTACACCCAACATTTGCACACTTCATAAACACTCAATTCTGTATTTGACTTCATACTAAGTATTTGACTTAAGACTGAATTTGAGAATGGTCAGTCTCATCATACAGTCTAATATCTTGTTACTTACAGACCCTGAAGCACCATCTTCTTCACTACAAGAAAGTCAACCTTGAGGCTCGACCTTTGGGCTTTGACCTTCACTGTCAGCTACCACCAGACAGACTTCAGCTGGTGCAGGATATAGGAGACCTGTGACAACTGTAACTTATTATATGGTTCAGAGCTGGATGAAAGCAAATCTATTCGGCTCAATCTGGACAATTCTATATAGTGGGAAAAGGGCCATGGTTGGCTGAGCTATATGCAACAGGTGGTTGATGAACCTGTGAAATCCTGCTTTGGCTGTGTGAACAGCTCATATTAATACAGGAAATAAAGTTTCCACCAATGACTGTTTTTGTGTGACATGTGTTCCTTGTGTGTGTTTACTTCAGTGGGAAAATTACTAGTAATGTAGACATTGACGTCACACTATACTTAAGGATTTGTAGCACTATATCCATATACATATGTTAGCTAATTATAATATTAGACATGCTCGAAGTTAACCTGCAAAATGTCTACTGTTTAATTTAAAACATTTCAACTGTGTTTCAATATAGATGTCTATGAGGAATAATAGTTATATTTTGTACAAATGGTATTTTTTTAAAGAGAGGTTTGTGAGACTGAAATACTGCAAGGAATGTATTTTGAAGCCTTTTTCTATGTCTGTTTTTTCTACAGAAGCCTAAGCTGACAAAATATACCGGTCTCCCTTGCTTGAACTATCTGTTGTTGAAATCAAAAGCATTATGGATCAAAAGTGCCCCTAGGCGGCAATAAACAAGCACTACAGTAATATTAGCAGCTCAGGTAACGTTATGTTGCAGTCCTACATTGTGCTAGATGCCACTTTTGATCCATGCACTTAGGATTCGTCCTGGTAACTACTACTAGTCGGTTTTGGGTGTTATACCGGCGCCAGTCCTAAGCATAGGCCTCTCCTGTCATGCTTGATCTCTTTAGCCAGCCTTTAAATTTCTGATTGTATGTCCCAAACTTCTGGACTTGTATGGTAACACTAGTGTCAGTGTTAATTCAGCACTAAGGACAGGGAAAGTAGTGCCAGTGTTAATTCAGCACTAAGGACAGGGATAGTAGTGTCAGTGTTGATTCAGCACTAAGGACAGGGATAGTAGTGTCAGTGTTGATTCAGCACTAAGGACAGGGATAGTAGTGCCAGTGTTAATTCAGCACTAAGGACAGGGATAGTAGGGGCAGTATTAATTCAGCACTAAGGACAGGGAAAGTAGTGTCAGTGTTAATTCAGCACTAAGGACAGGGATAGTAGTGTCAGTGTTGATTCAGCACTAAGGACAGGGATAGTAGTGTCAGTGTTGATTCAGCACTAAGGACAGGGATAGTAGTGCCAGTGTTAATTCAGCACTAAGGACAGGGATAGTAGGGGCAGTGTTAATTCAGCACTAAGGACAGGGATAGTAGTGCCAGTGTTAATTCAGCACTAAGGGCAGGGATAGTAGTGCCATTGTTAATTCAGCACTAAGGACAGGGAAAGTAGTGTCAGTGTCAATTTAGCACCAAGGACATGGACAGTAATGTCAGTGTTAATTCAGCACTATGGACATTATCCTATGCTGGCACCGGTCGCCTCCTCTGCAGCCTGAGGCACCTGATATCGCCATGGATCAAAGCTCCCCGGGGCAGTCGTAAACAATCACTGCAATGATAAGAGCTGTTCAGCCAACGTTGTATGTTGCAGTGCTCCATTGAACTGCTAGAGGCCGCTTTTGATCCATGCACTTCATTGCTTCCTAGCCGTAACTGAAGTTTTTTGTAAACGCGTAAGGCCACACCAATTTTATTTCTTGGTTAACGGATTCGCCCGCTTCATTTTTTTCTGATTTGCAAATAAAAATAAAAATTCAGAATCAACTGCAAAATGCTCATATTTTGCCCTGAACAGTTGAAAACAGTCCTTTTCATCCTAGTTGTCACAGTTATTCCAACTTTCAATGCAATGGAATCATTTAAAGTTCAAAATTCATTGTTTAAATTTTGAACCAGCCTGGTGTGTTGACTTAATGGCTCCTATCATACCATTTTAGGCCTTAATAGGATGCCTAGGCCTGTTTTTATTTTTTTTTCGCCCGCCCGCTCCATTATTTTTCTAGAAAAATCCATTAACCAAGAAATTAAATTGGTGTGGCCTAATAGAAGAGTTTTTTCCAAACATTGGAAAGGATCAAATTTGTGGAAGATCTAACGTCATATTCAGAAAGTCATTCTTGCTCTTAGCAGCAACTTAAGCATTAACACTGCCATTGACTCAGCAAGCTATTAATCATTCTTCTATGCCTGCAAGATGTAAAAAAGATCCATACACAAAGTGAAGTACAGACAACACGTTGAGGCACATCAGACACTTTTTATTGACACCTGTCCAGACGACACAGTCAACATCCCCATATGGCCCCTCCCCACTAAGTACATGTACATCTGCTACATACTGTAGCTTCACCTGTACATACATGCATACATACTGTGTGCCAAATTCCAACTATTATACGGATACTTAAAAACTGGTGTAAAGGAATCAACAACTGGTTTAGCTGAGAAGAACTCTGCCTGTTTCGTAAAGGTACATTTATAGGAACTTAAGTAACATTTCCATTGTTTTACATCCCTCAGGAACCCATTGCACACTGATTGGCCAAACTAAAGTATACATTTAATGCCTTGCCTAGTTATATACCATTCTCCTTCTTAAAGTAAACATTATGACTCATACTATCTATCTGACACCAAATAGCAGCCACCTTCAGTATACTTGTGGCCCGACAAGAAAGAAATGGATTCTTACAACCTTGCCCAATCATTAGTCCAAATTTTTCAGAACTTAGGTGGCTAGAATATGGGAAGCATATTCTTAACATCTATTACATTTTGGAATCTAGAGTGATCTTTTTGCCCATCTTTCTTCCAATTGCTGTGTTTATACTGTCTTATCTAAAAGTAAAAGAAAAAAGAACTAAAAACTAAAAAAGATGATCGATTCCTACTACCATCTATAGACCAGTCATAAACTTTGTAATTCCTAGTCTAGCTTTCCTACCAATTTCCATACATGGAAACATCTACAAACCCTATCTAGCTGCTTCTATGATGCAAATTCGAGTGGATTGAAAAATAGTTAATGCAATGGTATAATCATGTATTGATAAGTACAATTACAACACTACAGAGTACAGAATATCTCATCTTATGCGCCCTATACATTTTTGGGTGTTACGTTTCAAGAAAAATAGATTTAGTCTTTCTTATTGGCTGTATAAATGTAGGAAAAGTATGGTAGAGAAATTGCTCATAGCTATATATAATTACAAGTACTTTTCCTACAGCAGAGATTGGGAGTAGGTAGTCAAGAAGTTGTGTAAACTAGAGCTGCAGAGGATCTCACACCAGGGTTCTGTCAGGTGGAGATCTCTCACCGAGGTTTCATCATGTGGTGCTCTCACACTGAAGTGCCGTCATCTGGAGCGCCTTGCACCTGAGGAAAACACACAAAACGGTTTGCATGTTGCAAAATTGAACCATTTTACAAACCTTCAGCCTGCTATGGTAGCCATTTGGCACCAAATTTGTATTGCTTGTGGGGTTAGGCAGCATGGGAAAGGTTAAAGACAAAATAATGTCCTTCAAGACAACATGTCTACTTCAGCTGAAAAATATCATATAAATGTAAAAAAAAGGTTAAAATTATTGTTATGATATGTTGTTAATTGAGACTAAGATTTCTTAGTGTTAGCTTTATGGATATTGGAATACAAAATTATTTCAATATCAAAAAAACCTATGTTACAATATCATAAAAAATATAAAGTGAAGAATGGTCTTTTGAATGATAGGTCAGGCTTTATATTCATTAGCACCACGGAATGTAGCAACCTTCAAATTTGTACAATGTGTTAGTCTCAGACCACTAATTACATTACCGGTACTATATGTGCAGAATGCAAACTGTTTAACCAGGCCAGACAATCCCGCAAACACAGGTTTTGATGAATAATATTGTGCTCAAGCTAAGAAATTAATGAGTTGAAGCCATTTTTCTTGAAGTCCTTTGAAATCAATAGTTTAATAAAAAAATTTAATAACCTAGCAGGATGAAGAATAATTGGCAGGATTCAAGGGTGTTTTTTTGATAAATTTTTCTTGGAATGCAGGTTACAAATCTGGCTATTTTTTGTTTATAAAGTAGGAAATGTATTGTACGTAATGTAATGTAAGTAACCCTGTGACTATGTACCAAAATGAGACAAAGGTCTCATGAAACACTGTTAGATCAGACAAGAATCAAACTCTTAAAAATAAATCATACAATATGGCATGAATTTTTTCCGTCTACCACACCCACTCACGTATTCTCTTTACAAGTTGTAGTTTTAACAAACAAAATGAAGACACAGATTTATGTCAGGATTTACGGGGTTTGACTTCAGGAGTTAAGGTTAGCTCATGCACACATCACAACACAGAAGTGTTAGTAGGAGAGAGGGGTGCAATGGAGAAACACAGGTAAGGGGTGCACAGACATCACTCGACACTTGGAACATAGGAACAAGTACCTCTTGTAAGGCGTCTGCCAAATCTTTTTCTATTTGTGACTGATTGAGAGACTGTGGTGCTTCCACTACCTCTGACTGAGCTGTGCTCCCCTACAAATTAGAATCGGCAGCCGCAAATTATTTCAAACATTCAGCTTTCACAAGAAAAGGTGCTGCATCGTCCTTTTTTGCACTGGAAATTTTCCTTGTGCGTAAAATAAAACTGTTGCCTGGTATCCGTCCTAATCAAGCACTTGTTTGCTCCCCTCAGAGACATTGTACATAATGTCCTTGCTCCCCTGAACACCCCCCTACTGACAGTCTGGCGACCGTTGTTTGAAAATTAGCATTGAAATATGTGCATAAATTATATGCAACAGCTCTGAATGGTGCACAAGCTCCTCTTTCGAACTTTCGGGGTTTGAACGGTTATTTGGAAGTTTAATTTCTGTTACACTGCTTCTAAAACACATTTGACATAAAGACCAAATGTTTAAATAGGGACCCGTGCCAGACTTTTCGGCAGGTAAGCGATCAGATACCAAGACGGATACCAGGCTAGTAAAACTGTCCAGCTTCGGGTGAAAGCCAGATGTTCAAAGTTGGGACAAACACACTACTATTGAGCAAACACTACTGGTGTGCAAGTGCAGCTGTGACTATGCAGATGTAACATGGAAATTGTGGCAAAGGCTTTGGGTGGAAGCAACAGTACATGATCATGACTAGAATATGTCACTTTGGGATTCATTCTTACACGTCAACTGTCTATGGGTAGACAGAAACATTTTGCTCTATACTGGTAGCTGATAATTAGATGCTAACATACAGATTGTACAAGATTATACAGTAATTTATTAATTTGAAGAGATTCTATAGGTAAAAAGGAAACAAAACCAAACAATTTAAGACTGCCGGGGGCATCTAAGTGTGACTTATCCAAGTTATAATCAACGATGAAAGTATGAGAGAGAAGGAAACTAATCGAAATGGACAGTTTTTAACATGTTTGACAAGATTAGCTTTACTGTAGGATAATAATAATATTGGACCATAACACATAATAGGAAACACAATGTCCTAATGTTGCTATCAAATTAGTGGAATATGCAAAATCTCCACTTTTCCATCCAACCAGGGGAGGTGAAAAAATTTCAAATTCAACTTTCTTTAGAATTAACCTTCTCCCCCTAAGGTAGCCATTTAGCACCAAATTTGTCATGTTACAGGATTAGGCAGCAGGGAGAAGGTTAGCTAGTAAAGAAAGTACATGTGCCAACCATATACTGTATGAGACGGTTCTTTATTCAACGACCAGTGGGTTTTCACATCCAAAATTTTAGTGACCATCTGTCACCTTTTTCAGGGCAACAATGACTGGTTCTGAAGGTGACAGATGGTCACCAAAATATTGAATGTGAAAACCCACTGGTCATTGAATAAAGAACCTTCTTACAGTCTCAAACCAACCTGATGAAACGCCAAAAAGCAACTCAAGCCTGATGAAATTATTCACGGATGTAAAAACAATTTTTGCGGGCGAAAAAGTAGAAAGGGCAAAAATTCTGCTAAGTCTAAAATTGAGGAGTTTACGCATAGGAAGTTAATGATAAAAAATGCTGATTGAAAACTGTCTGCTACAGTAACTTAAGTGTACCAAGCAGCAAAAAGAAAGACAAGCCAAGTTGGTCATTTTGACATGAGAGAACTTGGAAAATCTCACCTTTTCCCCAGAACTCCCCTGTGGAATAGGAAGGACAGGAAAACTTTACTTTTTGACCAACAAAAAAAGAAAGCCAAAGAAAAGTATAGGATAAGAAGGACAGTAGTCGGGGTACTGAAAGTGTAACATTAGTAGTGAAATCTCACCTGTAGCTTTTTGACATTTTCCCTTTCTTTTTTGAGTTGATCCTCTGCTGTCTTGAGCAGGGACTGGAGTTTGGTGGCAGCTGACCCCAGCTCCTTACACAACTTCTTCTCCTTCTCCAGACGTGCCTGGAGACACAGTCAACAACAGAATTACCTTCCCAACCACATACATGGAAATGGCATGTCGGCAGAACATACTGCTCCTGCACGAAACCTGGATTTTTCATTGATTGGTCAATGTTGAATCAGATTTTTGCTCCATGCAGATGATATCTTTTATGACTTAAAAGCTTTTGAAAACAATGGATGGGATGCCATATAATGTGTAATGTTCTACCGAAGTACTATGCACAATACATGTAGATTATGAGTTTCGCACAGGTGCAGTGCACTCTGCTGGCGCGCTACATGTATGAGAACCTCTATGTTCAGAAGAACTGAAAACTGAAAAAGGTGGAGAAAACTGGTTGTCAGACTGCTTGCAGTGTCCCAACGTTCAAATAATTAACACTAAGGGATAGATGACACTGACGAGTGTTAAAACAACATCCCCACTCCATGATTGCCTCCCGTACCTTGAGTGCTGCTATCTCCTCATCCCTCTTGTTGAGGTCCTCCTCTGTGGGGCCTGCAGGGCCGTTCTCCGCCTGGCTGCTCCCCGCGGCCTGCAGCGTCTGCAGGTCCTGCCGCAGCTTGTCCCTCTCCTCCTGCAGGGCCTGCAGCTCCTCAGAACCCTGCTGGCTCTCCGACTTCACCTGCTGCACGGCTTCCTGCATTGCACGGACCTCTCCTCTGGCCTGGGGGAGAGGAATGCCAGTGGTTAGTCCTCCCCCACTTTGTACAACTAGATGTTTACGGATTTGTTAGGTAATGTAACCTGTATCTTGTTATATTTTGTCTTGAACTTGAATGAAAAGCAGCCAGAAGCCTAATATTTTAGTATTTCTGACATGTATAAACAAAAATAGACAAAGCAATTACTAGCGCTATATAGGACTAGATATTCTCTTACACCCTTCCAAAAAATGAATATCTTTTAACATCTTGCAGCTTAGAACATGTCTATAGCACCACAAAATCTTGTTGGTTTGAAGGAACTGTTTTGTTCTACTGCAACTATTCCTACTTGTTCAGGGAGTACCAAGATGAACCACTCACTTGTTCGAGGTCTTCGTTTGCTAACCTCAGCTTCTCCTGCCACTTCTGTTCCTCAGACTCCACACTGCTCTGCAGTCTGTTCAGGATAGACTCCTGAGAACAAAGTCATCAACAGAGTTACAAACAACTGGACGGTCAATCTTACTGCAATGTAGCTTTGATAGGTATCAAATACAGCATATCTTGCAGAAACCCTCACAATCCACCATTTTTAAACAAGACTTATTACCAATATTTGTCACATTCTATCAGCCCTTAATCAGTTTTGTTGACCACTTATCTAACTAAAAAAAGTGCTGACAAAAAGACTCCAAAATCATGTAAACTCAGTTTTCTTGATGGCTTCTTGCTAACTTACTGTGTCTGCCAGAACTGTCTTGTACTTCTCACACTCCTCCTGTAGTTCCTTCTCCCTCTCTGCTGCCTCTGCAAGTTTGGCCTCAACACCTTCATCCTGAGGAGATACAAGATTACAAGACCATGTCTTACATTTGACCATGTTGTCTGTTGAGACTAGCTAATGTGATTTTAAAAAAAAACTAGAGAGGTAATGTTTGCAAAGCAATTCATAGTCTTTGCCTTCACATTGTCCATATACCATAAGCAGATTCATATATCTGGTGACCAGTCCCTCCAACTCCTGCCACTTGCTACATAATGTTATCCAACACCACAATCATGGTATCTGCTACAGCACGGGTTAGGCGGTTACCATGGTGACAGCTGCCTGGTCTAGGTCATTGACATTATTTGTTTTGAATAGAAGAGGAAGACCAAAAACAACATGTTTACCTTCCCTGAAACAACTTCCGTGAGAACGTTCGTAAACATAAATATGGGTAAACAACCCACCCCTCCCCATTATCTACCTCGGGTGTTTGTGAAGGCACTTCAGCAGGCTGCACAGAGGCTGTCTTCATCTCTTCTAGCCTGGCGAGCGCAGCCTTCTCGAAGCTGGTGAGCCAGACCTGGTACTCCAGGGAGGGGTCCATGGACATGGAGATGTCTGGGAAGATTCTCTGCAGGGCTTCTCTGGCCTGACTCCTGTCCTTGTCTGACGTGGCAGTGTCATCCTGTGTATGGGAGTCAAACAGGAATTTGCTATGGAGAGATCACAGTGTACATAGACATAGCCTGTTTCTGTGTTCAGAATACGTTACTACATAGACCATAGCCTAGGCTGTGCAAGGACGTTTAGGTGAGACCGAAATGATATTGTGGCCAACAGTTTCTAATTCCCTCTCTGGGGACAAAGATTGCAAGTGCAGCACTGTTCTGCTAGAGATATTTTAATTATCTATATGGGTCCTTGCGAAGCAAATGTGTGTATGTGGTCAAAATGGAACATTTTGGTGATCAGTCCTTTTACAAAAGGAAATCAAAAAGGAGCTTAGTACTAGTATATGCAAAACAAAAATATCTAACAGAGGCTAAATGTTAATATCTGAGCAAACACAGGACAAGGTTATAAGAAATACGGTGCAGAAAAGGGGCTCAAGTTAATGAAGGAAATAATACATAAAACAAATAGATTGAAAAAATACCAATATGGTCACCCTCTATGGTAAACTTCATCTTGTATAATGTGTATGCAAATGATGATTGGCAGAATAGTTAGTACAAAGCCATGCATACTTAGAGGGCTGTGAGGGTAAAAACTATGGTGACAGAACAATAACTTTATGATGTTAAATGTTGAGACAGCACTAACACTAAGGCGAAGGCTCCTATATGCTACAAACTTATATCTAGAATAGGATGGTCTTTGAATATCTTTGAATTCAGGATTGGACATGTGAAGCTATGTATAATATATCCCATTGGCAATTCTGGTTGTTCTTTTCATACATTTTTCATTGGTGTCCATACTTTTGCAAAAGTTGTTCAAATCTCTTTTTTCAATCATACATGTATATTTCATTTGCATTCAGTATATTTTTCCTAAATTATACATGTATGAAATATGGAAAAATCATATGTAATAATGAATGAAATGTATACAGTGTAGTGTTTATGATTTTTGACTTGCATGCAAAAAATGACATCACATTTTTAGCAATAATAAAAATCAGGATGTTCCAATAAGAAATGAAAAAAAAAAGAAAAACAGCTACAATGTCAATGTCAAAGATACCTTGGCACTGGTAACTTTCTCTTTCTCAGCAAGAGATTTTTCGGCAGCGTTTAGAGCATCCATTGCTTTCCAGTTTTTCTCACGAAGGTCCTTGTGTCAGAGAGAATGAACCAGTCAAGTTAAAACGGTAAGAAAACAGACTGTAGACCATCATGGATATACACAAGACCCTTAGCATGGTGCCAAGCCAACACTTAAAATTCCTAGTACAGTATCTCTTCAACGTTTTGCTAGAAAAATGATACCCAACTCCGTGTATTCTTGAATAGGATAGACCATTACAATGGACCAGTTGCATACTTGGTAAAAATCCTCATTATACAAACAGAATACAATCGTATACACCTGCTTCTGCGTTAAAACACAGTATGCAAAATGTAGTCTTACTAAAATCAACATCCATGTATAAACTCTTTTCTCTTCTGTTGGATGTTTACTTTTTTTTCAGTACAAGATCAGTACAGTCAGCTTCCTGTATTGTTCTTGAGTTATCTGATAGATGGAAAGGTATCTAGTGACAATGCTACACAACAACACCTAATGACTTTTCAGTCCCCAGTGTCAGGCAATTATCCATCTCTGACCTGGTCCCGGCCACATACTGACCACTATTATCTCCCTAACAGAGAGGCATAATTGTATTTCCGGAGCCAATTTGTGGATGACATCATGTTAATGTCCACAAAATTAGGTACTGATTGTTTCACTGTACTTCTACAATGTTCACTGTTTTCACAGTTAATTCTGTACTTCTGTAACTTATCATTTCCGTTATCAAATCATTTGTCTTTGGCCCCCCTTCTTGCACTTGCTGACACTGTGAAGACTTTGTGAACATTTCTATTTTCCACATACCGTAAAATTCGGTTACCGTGAAGACTAAGTGAATTACAGTAACTTTTCTCCATGGGAAGTACACTAGATGGAGAGGTGCTTAGGGGGATTGGTGAGTGACTGAACATGGGACAGGAGCAGAGGAATATGATCTGTCATGCATGGTGCAGAGGAATGGTTACGGTTCAATTCTACTTCAGCTGCATGCTTCAATGGTTGGTTGGTTGGTTGCTTACCAACTTAACCTAGGGTGGTTTCTCTCCTATTCTCAACATAGTTGGTGGTACTTTTTATATCATATCTGTTCATCTGTCAACTAAACCTGGTCCATCATTTTCCTAAACCCCCACCTACCATTCTAAACAATGTCATTTCCATTACAACCCTTAACCATGTAAATTCTTCCACCATTTTTTAACTATGTGACAACGTCAATTCCTCTACGGTGGATTACATTGTCAGTTCTGCCACCATTCCCCAATTCAAAACCATTTCTATGACACACTATGCACGAAAACCTTAACCACGCTACCATTATAAAGCATTTCAACTCCAAGCAATACCATTAATGTCACCATTTATTTTAATCTATATGCTTTCTCCTTTTCTACGACTATGTTGAACAATGTTCTGTTTGTGGTCTTACGTTGTTTTTCTTCTTCTGCTGCTCGACCGTTGTCTGCAGCTTTGCGATCTCCGCCTTCGTCTCAGTGACCTCCTCCTGCAGCTGGGTCACTGTCTTCTCCTTTTCACTGATGCTGGGATGGAAATAACATTTCAGATTGTCTCATGCTCTGCCATCGAATTGCTTAGGGTCTGGTGATAGTTCTATCTAAAAATGGGTACTCTCCTAGCAGAGGTATAGGCCACGTTGACTTGATTATATGGGTCACATACATTAATTATCCTTACTGAAAAAAAACGTTTGTGACAATACTGTTTTTTTTGGGGGGGGGGGGTACTTGAAAGATCGTAGAGGTTTAAAGGAAGAGAAGAAGATGCCAGAGAAAGGGAAGCATGGCCCAAATTACCACTACCTTACACCACCAAGTCTTCCGAAGTCAAAGAACAAAACAAGAATAAATAAATTACCAGGCATACCCAAGTTCTGTGTTTTTCTGTCTTTTCTTCACCCTTCCTGACAAGTTAAATTTCAAAAGGAAAACTCTTATTTGCCCAACTTATCCTGTTTTATTTGCATGCTGGCATCAGTTTTGGAGTGCCCGGAGGATATCATCCGTGTAATCAAATCACCATGGCCTTAATAGAAGTATAAAAGCAGGCACAAAAAGGTAGTTTAGAGAGTTACTTACAGAAGTTCATGCTCAACAACACTGATGGTCTGCATACTAGACCCCTCCGCCTGAAGATAAATAGAATATTTTAATCATAGCCAACAGATCATAGTTACAGAAACTTCCTTCTAGAGTAAGAAAGGAACCGACTGCCAATTCAGAACAATAAGAGTGCCTTTCCTTGATCATACACAGAGTATCACAACAAATCACACAGCTAAGTTTGGTTCAGTAACAAAATGCAAATGACCAACTTTATATACATTCTTATTAAGAAATGGTTATTTTCTATCTTGACACAAAGCTTATCATAGTATCCCTGCACTTCCAAACATTTTACATACAACATGTAGAAATGAATGCAGGCTGTGATAAAGAATTGAACTACCTTGTGTTCTATGTCTCCATTGGCACTTGGCACTTCTGCAGCTTTAGACTTCTTCTCAAGCTCCTAAAAACCATATGAACATAATCAGATATATATGCATATACATTTCACAACCATATTCTATAAGACCATATACCAGCTGTACAGGTATGTAACCTTACACCAGCTGTAACAGGTGTCCTAACCTTATACCAGCAGTAACAGGTGTCTAACCATATACCAGCAGTAACAGGTGTCTAACCTTACACCAACTGTTACAGGTATCTAACCTTATACCAGCTGTGACAGGTGTCTAACCATACATCAGCTGTTACAGGTGTCTAACCTTGATGAGTTTCTCCTTGTCCTCTACCGTCTTCCTACTCTCAGCCAGCTGCGCCTGCAGGTCCTTCAGCTGCTGCTGCAGACCGGAGTCCTGAGCACCTGCATCCCCTCCAGCCGCAGACTTTGCAGTCTCCAACTCATCAGACAACGCCTTGTTCTTCTCATTGAGGTCCTAGGGAGCAGATTAGTCCCATTATAGTCTGTCTTGTTTTGTTGAGACAAATGTACACCTGAACAACCAACAGCTGTGCAGTCACTCCAAATGCTGTTGTTTTGTCAGAATCTATCCATGCTGTAACAACTTGAACCAGTCTACATTCATGCTACTGAAACTCTTTCCTGCAGAGAAAAGAGATCAACCATAAGCATTGCAAACATGCAGCAAACAGTTGCTTGCCATGCATGCAGGCAGCTACAGTGGTAGTGAGCTTAGCTGTGGGTTAGTGATGGGGTTACCGTGAGCAAAAACACAATGCATCGATCGCAAGACTGCTATGCTTATGATTCCACAAGCAGGCAGCATGTCCACACTCTACATGCAGCGTTTAAATCCACAGTGAAGTAGTCTGCAAAATGAAAAGGTGCTGAGCATGTGTTAGAGATGTATCAGCAGAATGTACTGCGCCTGTGCAAAACCTGTATATACTGCGCAGAACATCTTTTAGAAATAACAGAGGGCCTAAGACAGTTCCTTGAGGTTGTATTCGTGTATTTAAGGATGACATTCAGCATTTAAATGTTGGAAAAGATATCTTCTGCAATGGGCAAACTTCTGATGCAACATTGACCGTTTCTGGGTTTTGCACAGGCACAGAATGTTCTCCTGACATGGTTGGTTAGGGTTGGTGTGAGTGAAAGCTTGTGGTTAGCGAAGGCCACACACACAGTGCACTGATGCTGCTGACAAATAGCACGAGAATGACCTTCCTCATATTTCCTTTTTAAAGAATACATTGATCTTTTCGCAATGACTTGGGTTGAAGGCATATCTTCCAGAAGCTAAATAGTTGTGAGAATATTTGGGTTTTAGGATGTTTAAGGAGGTCATTCTTAGCTATTTATCATGTAGCCAGCAGTCGAGGTTGATTTGAACCTGGACTTCTTTGTCCTTGGTCTCCTGAGCCAGCCTGCTCTGAGCCACTTGTGAGTCAGCAGCCTCGACTCTCTGTTCCAGCTGTTCTCTCAGAGTCGCAGCCTCCTGCAGCTGGGCCTTAGCCTGCTCCAGCTGAGCACGTGACTCCTCCAGCTGTGTGCTGGTGTCGGCCAGCTGTGTCTGGGAGCTTTTCAGCTGCGACTTGGTGTCATCTGATTCCGACTGCGTCTGGGACAGCTGCTGATTCGCCTGGTCCAGCTGCGATTTCACCTCACTCAGCTCAGCTTGAATCTCTCCCAGCTGCACCTGTAGGGCACCTGAAGCATCCTCCACGGCAGCAGGTGCTTCAGGTGCAACCTGGCTAGCCTGGAGAGAGGAGAGCTGACTTTCCAAGGAGGAAAGTTTGTCTTTCAGTGACTTGCTTTCTGCCTCTGCTTGGTCAGCTGCGTCCTGGAAGATTGAAGTACATTTTGTCCCCATGAATCATTTGCTGATTCACCGTTAGCCAGGCAATACATGCCACACTGTGACAACAACTCAACACCTGTACTCACCAACAGAACATGTGCAAACACGGAAGAAATATAAGGCATGACGTACGAGGTACAAAAAAAGTACTGCCATCTCTTTAGGAAGAGGGGCTACATTCCATGCACACCAAATGAACTATCAGGGCAATAACCCTCTTTGCACCAAATAAAGGAAGGAAGATCTCTCTAAAAAAAATCTTTCAAGAAAAAATACTTCTAGCTTCAGTCTCACCTTGGCCTTCTTGATGTCGGTACCCATGGCGTTATTCTTGGCTTCTGACTTTCTCAGCTGCTCGGTGACTTCGTTCAGTCGCTTGGTGAGCGAAGATTCGGCATCACGCTGCATGGAGGATACGCAAATCAGAATGATGACCAATCACTTCCAAACGTAATCCACAAGAGTTTCGGACATGTGACCTATTCATGTGAGACTTTACAGACTTTGTCAGCAATTGGTCAAACGTGCAAGGCATATCGTTCACTGTCTCTGTTTAGTGATGGCTGGAGTGCCCTGCCTGACATAAGTGGCCTCCTCTATACCTCTGATGAAGGCGACACTGATCATTGAAAATTTTATCCTTGTGCACCCTTGTGTGGGAACAAAGTTCAGCATCGTACTATGATTCCTGCCTAACCTTGCTTACTTATCATGTAAGACCGTGATGAGACCGTACCTGGCTGGCGTGGACCTGTCGGACCTGCTGCTGTGCCTCCGTCAGCGCGGTCTCCGCCTTCCTGCGCCCGTCCTCCTCACCCTGCAGCCGCGCCTGGACCGAGTTGTACTCGTTCTTCAGCCGGGCGTGCTCAGTACGCAGGTTGGCCAGGTCGTTCTGGATGCGCATCTCTGTCCTGTGGGGCAAGCATGGGGGGATTGAGTCATGATGATGATGGATGGTTTATTGGGGATAGAATCATTCTCAGCCTATATGCAGAATTGCGGAGTCAAAACTGATTTTGAAAGCTCATTTTCACTGATTTTAAAAGCTCATTTTCCTGGTTAAAAGCTCATTTTAACTCATTTTAAAAGCTCATTTTAACTTATTTTAAAAGTTAAAATGGCGACTATTTTTGGCCAGAAATTGATGAAACCCAAGAATCTTAACCATAAAACGAACATATTGCAATACTCAATAACGTAATGAACGTTGTATCCAAGACTTGAACATTGCACTTGGCATGCTGTAAATAATTGACATCTCTACAAACATGAAGAAAAGCACTAGGTAAACAATACAGTAGAAAAACACTCACCCCTTGGTGGCCTCATTCACAGCAGACTTCAGGATCTTGTTTTCCTGTAACAGAGTTGTGTACACGTTTCAATTACCATCCATTTGTTATCAGAGGATGTACCAGCCTATACACATCTTCCTGATAAAAATCCCACAGGAACAGTACATCCTTGATCTCCAAGAAGATCTTTTGGTGGCTGTAATACAGTATCAAATTGGCAAGACAGTCTCAAATTGGCAAGACAGTCTCAAATTAGCCAGAAAGTATCCCTTCATAGTTTGCTGTAAAATAAAGATACCACCACAAATTAGAAAGCCCTATAAAAATGCCTAAAAGCCGAAGTCTAAAGCTCTGCTTGGTAAGTAGTACATCCTGTCGCTATTACTTTTTTTACTGGCCCAAAAATATGACCACTTCCATACTTTTAAAACTGCTTCAAGCTAGAGAATACTACAAAAACAGCACAGTTTCAGCATGGTTACCTCCTGCAGCTGCACGATGTGTGCCTCCTGGCTGCTGTTGGTCTGCATCTCGGCCAGCTGGTTGTGCAGCTTCTGGTTCTCTGCCAGGTGCTGCTCGTGGGTGGTCTTCATGCGGGTGTAGAGCGCCTGGATCTCCTGCTGCTGCTGGCTCACCTTCTGCTGCAGCGACGTCTCCTGGGCAGAGAAGCGCAGACGCTCCTGCTGCAGCTCCTGCCTGTGGGTGGGTGTGTGTGGGCGGCAACACTGCTGATAGTCTACTCATATCTTGTTGTACTGATGCAGAACCTGGTCACAGCAAAACTACCATAGTTTCCAAAGGGCAGCTATCTGACTCCATTGTTTTCAATGAGGGACATGTTGTAGTGTCAGCACATTGAATACAGCAATTCAGCTGTCTTCATGGAAGCAAAATTACATGGTCTGAGGAAAACAGACGTGTTCACAGAGCTTAATCTTCACGGTGGTGGCAAGAACAAGTTGGGCAAAAGACGAATGATTTGTGAAAGACAATGATAAGTTCACAGTACAAAAGCGACTGTGAAAAACACAGTGAAAAAATCAGAAATTACAGTAATCCATCCCACCAACCTTCACGTACACATGCATTTATCTGCCTCCAACAAATAACTCTGATACCTTTGGACATATGCAACATGTCTCTAAAACAATACAGACTCTGATAACAAGGAGGATAAGATCTAATAATACAGTGCAGTACTATAAACAGGATCTAGATAGACACAATTAACTTCTATGTGCTATCATTCTTACCTCAGTTCCTTCATTTTCTGGTGGGATGCCAGAACTTGCTGCTGCCCTGAGGGGAGAAGATACAGAGAAACTCAATTCTGGATAGTTTTGCTTAACCTTCAGCATGCTAAGGTAGCAGTTTGGTACCAAACCTGTCCTGGTTATGAGGTTAGGTAGCAGGGAGAAGGTTAAAAATCCCTTTCCTTATCAGTTGTACTACTTTAAAAATATTTCTCCAACATTCCCAAAAGAGGATTTTTCTTCAGATTTGAGGATAGGCCTGTAAATTTTCCTCAAAGAAGATACATTAACTGTGAAATGAATCGTATTTCCTGTAATATTCTTATCATGTACAATCCAATAGTATACATTAGGAATAAATAGACTCCGAGTGAGCTTGACGCAGTAAGTGTGAGAGTAGATAGGTAGATGACTGTTACTGTGAGTATAAAGCAGATGTGTCTGTGTCTTTACCATCCTGGAACTTCTTCTCGAAATCCTCTGCCTGCTTCTTCATGGAGTCTGCTTTCTGTCCAGCCTGTAAAATAACAGATGTCCTTTTCATGGATTCATGTCAACATGCAACATGTGTAAACATCTGTAGTAAGCAAGGTACCTGGTGCATGTATGGTTTAACATGTGGCAATTCCTGCATTAATGAGTGGCCATGGTATGCTATAAAGGCAACTTATTGACTTTAAGTTTGTAAAACAATGTTTGGGCAAAAGTACACATAACTTTTAAATGATATGTTTCTGTCATGTTATAATTATACAATAGCACAGTGTATGTATGAAGTATGTTAAAGGTGACATAACATGGTTACTTGTCTAAAATGTTTGGGCCCTTTGTTATACTATAACAAAGGGTCCAAACATTTCAGAGTGTGCCGGTAGTGATACATGTGCAAATATATCAAGTTAAACAGAGAAGTCCAGCCATAATTTTCTTGAGGACCAGGTTGCTTTAACTGCTGCTAGTGGATTAATATTACAAGAAATCCACACTTCTGAATGGCTGAGGGGAACTAGCCATGATCCAAGGCACAAGAATCTAGACTTCTGATTGGCTAAGACGAAGTAGCCATCTTCTTAGAAAGAAAAAATCCACACTTCTGATTGGCTGAGGGGAAGTAGCCATGTTGTAAGGCACAAATTCATCACTGTCATGATATATTGTTAGTATGACCAATGGCTCACCTTGGCCCACTCTGTGGACTTCCGTCCCTGCTTGGAGAGCATGATCTCGATCAGCTGCTGCATCTCTGCGTCCGACAGCTTGGCAGTCTGTACGCTGGTCACCAGACTGTCCATCACAGCTGTCATAGCTGGGGCATCTAGAGCATTGACAAAAAAAAACTATTCAAACCCATGCTGTAACAAGTGGTAGAGCAACTGCCTTAAAAACTACTAGAGGCCCCAACATTATGTCCCTTCTTCCCTAGCACAAGAGCTATCTAGTATAATCTACCACTCAAAAATCGTAACCGTAGCATATCCCAAACACATGATATCAAAACCCAGAAGTTCCACTTCAGTCCATAGACAAGCTGCCAGGAGGCCCAAAATCTCATTTACAGTTTTTGTAACAACCTACCAAGACATCAAATATGATATACCAATACATCCAGCAGTTCTTGAGTTATTTTGTTCACTAACATACACACAGTCACTGCCTGAAATATACCCTCCATTTCTCATGGAGATAATAATGTTCTAGCCATGACACTTTCAATGTTTCATTGCCAACATGCGCTATAAAGTGTTCATGATACACGAGTGTCTGTGGTGTAAGTTGCTGATTTTGTATCGTAAACACCACAGTGAAGTCAATCATGTCTAAACCGGTGGCACGTCTGGCAGATTTCAAACATGATACCTTTGTGTACAACAGAATGTGATCGGCACCATAGACTACCAGACTGGTTACAGCATCACAAAATCTTGTTACCGTTGTTAGTCTGGGTAAATGGGCAAGACTCTAGAAACCCTTTCTAACATACACTGATACTATTACTACACATGTTGTTCAAGCAAAAATTGTCCCTATAGCTATTCTCCAAGAAGAGGTTGCTGGGGAAGATGGTTAACATTCTATATATCATGCACCGTTTTTTCTGGCACTAACAGGGCATATATAGAAAGGTAACGATCTTCCCCACCAACCTCTGCTTGGAGAGTACTTATACTAGCTAGGTAACAAAGAAAAGGAATTTCTAGAACATGCACAGCAAACTACTGTGGCACAGCTTCATCCCAATCAAAGTCTGTCATAACAGACTGCTTTCATGAATCTACACTACTGTTCTATACCACTGTCAAGTACGGCATGAATGCTTGTTCTAATACTAGTACTTTTATACTACCAGTAGTCAATACAAGTGCAGGACATTTGAAGTGTGATTGAAAGAATATATGTATGGAGTTAATACATGTATGTAGCAGCTCTGATTTGCCAGCTCCCCTGCCTGGTTTATAAAACTGACTGGAAACATCTGCTCAAAGTCAATTCCTCTACTTTCACAACACATCAATCTACATAATCCTTATTATGCCTCATTTATATTTTAAGCAAAATGTGAAAATAAGAGCTCAACTATAGCTAGGATATAACCACTTTGTCTCTATAATATGATTCTCAGTGGAACTAGTTTCCACTCAGCAGGTATCCAGACAATTCCATCTGGCATGGTATCTCCATAATTACATTTGGCCACATTATCTGTTTATGTTGACTGGGTAATCCATCAACCCCCCTGCTGTCACAATGTGTAAGTACGCAAATTTACAATCTGTGGACAAACAGAGATGTGTCAGGCTGGACAATGCATGTTGTTCTTGGAATCATCTGGAGCTAATGATGATTGTAGTCAAGGTGTGATGGTTAACACAGTTGAAATATTCACACTTCTCTAGCTGTCTAGCACTAGCCTGGGTGCCATCCGAATTTGTAACGGCTCCCCCGAAAATTCAGATGGCACCCAGGCTAGTCTAGCACTTATCAAGATGACCAAAACACAAAATATATTACAGGAGAAAACTGGACCGTAGTGAAGTGCCTACTGTTTTTTGTTTGTTTGCTACGAAACAAAAGAAAGGGTGACTTCTGTTTTATACTATTATAGTGAAAACTGAAGCCTGCTTGTATGTACTTACTTGAGCCAATATTAGAAACCTAAGCTCGTAGTGCCAGTAATTAGTGTGTGTTAGGTCCCCCAGTCTGTACACACATCTGTGCATCTTTACAGATCTATAAACTACCTTAGGGCACAACCATACAGCTGTCTTTGGTCATGCTAATTGCTCCCTTTGCTTTGATCTACGTGGAAATACTAGCAACATCATATCGTATAACATACATTGTACATGTATATACTAACTGGTAATATATAAAATCATAGATCCTTTTGAATTTAATATTATCAGGCATCAATATTTCTATCAGAGGATTTTTAACCAATGGCAAACCAACTATGCAACAAAACATTATCAATTTCCCTCCTAGAACTGTCTTTTTGTTCCAAGGACTATTGACACCCATAAAAACAAGCTTCTATGTATGTAGTTACTGCTGGACTGACTGTCGCCATTTTATGTACAACAGAAGACAGATAGCCCATCTATTACTATGATCTAGGATGATCCAGCAGTATGGCCATCTGCGCTTAGCTCCACCCACAAAGCTGTCACGTGTTGGGAAATTTTGTACTACAAGATAAAAAAAAAGAAGAGTAGCATTCTTGTGTCTTTCCAAACAGCTTGGACTGCGCAGTGGCAGACATCTCAGGAAAAACAAACACTTAGAGTCTGGCTGGAGTCCAGGCGACCGATCGAATGGCACCAACCTTAGCATACTGTACGGTCACTGGGTAAGGGACATGGAAACCCCATGTCTGGTGCATTAGGCCACGGAAAGTCAATTTTATGGAGGACATCCACACACAAATTGAGTTTTTCTTGATTTTGACAACAACAAGGAAAAAATTAAATTTCGCTCTCTTCCAGTGATGAGTGTAATTGTGTAACTTGTAAGTTGTAGAAGTGACTGACACTTGAGTGGTAGCCTTGCTTGAGCATACCAGAGTAGTTGAAGTGATACCAGGCTATAGCTATCACACTAGTGTCACTTTCTTAACTTCTTGAATACCGGAATAAAAGACTTGTTGGCTACAATAACATGTTTTGTTGCTTCAGTTCCTACAATACAATGTTTTAAGTCTTTACTCTGAAAATGTAGGTATCTTTTTTCTTGCCCATCTTGTTTTTTTTTGGTACTCTCCCATTAGATCTGGAGAATGCATAGGATTAGGATGTCAGGAATAAAATTTCCTTGCTGTGACAATATTAGACTGTGATACTAGGCAGACACCTGGAATGATTTAATCAGTCTGGATCATCTCATAATCAACAAAAATGGCGGTATTCCCCGGGACAGAAAACAACCGGGGATCAACCACAGGTGCTCTAAGACCTAACCTTTATTGGTCTGTCCAATAAACAGTTATTAAATAAATATTACATGATATTTTCATATAGCCAGCGCCTGTAGTATTAATACTAGCATCAATGATCAAGGTCACATGATTACAATGCTAGGTTTTTGCAGGGGGAACATAATATAATAAAGCTATCTTCACAATTTACGATAAACCTCTAGCATCTGTTCAGTACAGTATTATTATAAAGCTATATACCATTAAGGCATGTTCGCTGTTAGAATAGAGACAGAGCATGGCAGAAAGCCAGGATGGAGTGTATTTCCCAGAATCCTACAGGAGTGACTCACAGCTGGTTACATCATGCATAACCAGAAGCCCTATGATGTATCATTATACTTCATGGTTGTAGCTACTAATATAATAATTAGTCAGAAGTGCGGAATCCTTCCCATATTATCTTTCAGTGTATGGTATGTGTATGGTATGGTATCTTTCACTTTCATGGTAATACTAGTATTAGTAGTAATAGGTGACAATAATTGTCACAACTGTTGCAACAACATGTGGACACCATGTGACCTAGAACCTTGGCAATAAACAAGAGATCGTCAAACTTTTAAAACTGCGGACTACAGAAACTGGCTGTGACAAATGATAATCATTTCTGCCAACATTTGAACGCATGCTAAGGCCACACCAATTTAATTTGTTGGTTCTCGGATTTTTTCAGAAAAAATATGAAGCGACAGGGCGAAAAAAAAAAAAAAACAGGTCTAGGCATCCTATTGTAGGCTTAAATGCTACAAAATGAGCCATGAAGTCAACACAAAAGGCTGGGTTAAAATTTAAACAATGAATTTTGAACTTTTAATCAAACCACTGCATTGATAGATGGAGGAACTGTAAGAACTAGAAGGAAAAGGACTTTCCTCAACTGTTGGAGGCAAAATATGAGCATTTTTTAGATGATTCAGAACCAGAATTTTTTTTTTT